TCAGCAGGCCCAGCCACAAGCTACTGGTTTCTGCTCTTGGCGCATAGGGCTTCGGTGAGAGAGATGTAGCAATAAACACTCAGGGAGGGGACAGGATCAGGCTGTGGCAGTCTGACTCCTCTTGGATCTTTTTTTTTTTTTTTTTTTTTCCATCTTCCTGGAACTTCAGCTGTCCTGGAACTCGCTATGTAGACCAGGCTGGCCTAGAACTCACAGAGCTCCACCTGCCTCTGCCTCCCAAGTGCTGGGATTAAAGGTGTGCCACCATGCTCCATTGGCTCTTAAGGGTAATTTCTAGCTGAGGAATAACACCCAAGATTGACCTCTGACCTCCCTATGCACACACACACACCTCATGCTCCCCTTGAGCCCAGGGGCATGCATCATCCTCTCTGTAAAGCTTTGTGAGAGCCGGGGAGTGACATGTCCTGTCCAGGAATGACCTCATGAATTTCTACCTTGATCCCTACTTCTCTCCACCCAGTCTACATGTCCCAAGTGCCATGTCACCCTACCCTACTCCTCCTTCTTAGGCAAGGTCCACCACAGCTGACCCACACACTCTGCTCTGTTCCCAAAACTGACCCTACTCTGAACTCAGGGTCTTTGAACTACGAACTCTCCTAAACTGTAGGCCCTCAGTCAAGAGCATGTCTTTGCACAGGCTCATATGGACTCTAGGAGGAGCTGTCTTCTCACCATCCGTTTGGGAAAGGGAAAGGAGAACATGATGCCAGAAACTTCCTTGAGGAAGTTGTACTCTTGTCAGGCAGGAGCAACTACAGTGGGCTGTAGGAACTTGATAATGGTCACATCTGTGCCCCACAAATACAAGATGGCAGGTCTACAAGAGGACCCAGAGCCTACACAGGCCATCACTCTCCTCTGCTCCACAAACTGACTGAATGCAGGTATGCAAGGAGCTGGATGTGTACTGAGATGAGCAAGATTGTCCTCTCCTGGAGGAGCTCGCATCCTTGAGGGCTGACAAAGTTTAGGATACATTTTGCTTCTTTGGTTACTATATACATCTTGAACGTCTTAATATCTTGTAAATAACCAAGTAAAATAACCTGTTTATTAGCCTTTATACCAAAGACTTAAATTACATCTATTTATCTTTTGAGGGGCAGGGTAGGGCGTGTGTGGAAGTCAGAGAACAACTTGGTTGATTCTCTCCTTCTACCATGTGGTCCTGGGATTGAACTTGATCATCATGCTTGGCTGCAAGCACCTTTAAACATTGATCCATGCAGCCAGCCCTGGTATCAAAGACTTGAAGTGAGCCTAAGTTCGAACAACCAGTGTTCTTAACCATTGAGCCATCTCTCCAGCCCCCTAAGTTTACCTTTTTTATTTCATGTTCATTTATTTATTTTATTTACATATTTATTTTGTGTTATTATTTTGAGCCTCACTGTGTAGCTGGGCTGGCCTGGAATTTACTATGTAGATCAGGCTGACTTTGAACTTGCAGAGATCTACCTGCCTCTGCTCCAGAGTGCTGGGATTAAAGGTGCCTGCCGGCCTTGTTCTATATTTAAATTGACCCCTCCATTCCTCCTTCTCCAGGTGATTCTGTTTTGGGGTTTGGTGAATCAAGTTAGTTTCCTTTTGTTCTCTTTTCCCTTTTGAGCCTAGTTTCCCATCCACGAACAGAAGATGGTCTAGATGTGCTCCAGCTAACCCGGTTGCATAGACACAGTCATTAATGACTGTTGTAGTGGCTGTAGAGAAAATACAAAACATTTCTTTTCTCTTTCCTCATGAAGCCCAGACTGGCTTCAGACTCAGTTTGTAACCTAGGATGGCCTTGAGCTCCTGATCCTCCTGCCTCTACTTTTGGAGTTCTGGAATTACAGGCATGCACAGCATTATAAAAAAAAGCTTTTTCCGTGTGTGTGTGTGTGTGTGTGTGTGTGTGTGTGCATGTGTGTGTGTGTGTGTGTGTGTATGTGTGCAGGCACAGTGTAGCACGGCATGTGTGGAGGTCAGAAGACAACCTCAGGCATCAGCCTTCATCTTCTGCCTTGTTTGAGACAGGGTCTCTTGTTAACTGCTGTGACTGCCAACTGTCAAGCTAGCTCTTAAGCCTGCAGGCGTTCAGGGACTCTCCTATCTCTGCTTCTCATCTCACCCTAGGAGCTCTGGGATTAGATGCATGGTATATTATCTGGTTTTATGTGAGTTCTAGGCATCTGAACTCAGGTCCTCATGCTTGTGTGTCAAGTGCTTTATCCACTAAACTATCTCCCCAGACCCTCTCTTAAAAAAACAAACTTGTTTTATTTTAATTTATATGTATATGAATGAATGTGTGTCTACTACAAGTGTGTGGGCGCTCAAGAAGACCAGAAGAGCGTGTTGGGTCCTGTTAGAACTGGAGTAACGATGGTTGAGTTGCCCAACGTTAGAACTGGAGTAACGATGGTTGAGTTGCCCGACGTTAGAACTGGAGTAACGATGGTTGAGTTGCCCGACGTTAGAACTGGAGTAACGATGGTTGAGTTGCCCGACGTTAGAACTGGAGTAACGATGGTTGAGTTGCCCGACGTAGGTGCTGGGAACTGAACTCAGGTCCTTTGAAGCAGCAAATACTTTTTAACTGATGAGTCATCTTTCCAGTCCCTCCCCATACCCTCCCTTTTTTCCAGACAGGGTCTTGCTATGTAGTCCAAGTTGGCCTTTTTGTTTTTAAGACAAGGTCTCATGCTGTTTGAACTCATAGCAATCCTCCTGCCTCAGCTTCCCAAATGCTGGGATTACAGCATGAGCCTCCATAACCAGCTTCATATTTAGAATATTGCTGACTTACAGGAAGGTCCACTGGAAAGCACGGGTCTAGAATGTTAAAGTGTAGAGTCTCTAAGTCTATTCTAAGAAGTTTTCAAACTTCCACTTCAACTCCATGTTGCAGTCAGAAGAGTCTTAATGCAGTGCGCTTTTCTGTGGAAGTATTTTCTGTGCAATAATAAAGTGCTTATCTTGAAGCATGAAGCCTGCATTATGCACACATTTCTTGGATTTGGATATGACATCATTTGGTTTGGATGACTTCTACTTTATTTACTTTCTTTTTTGTCTTTTTGAGACAGGGTCTCCCTGTAGCCCCAGCTGTCCTGGAACTCACTATGTAGATGAGGCTGGCCTTGAACTCATAGAGATCCACCTGCCTCTGCCTCCCAAGTGCTGGGACTACAGGCGTGTGCCACCATTGCCACCATGCCCAGCTACTTTATTTATTTTCTAAATTCTCTGACAGTACCCAGTATTTTACTGCTCAGGCTTGTTAGGTGGCCAGTGTCTTCAGAACACAGTCCATTGCAACCTTTCTTTTTTTTTTCTTTTTGGTCTTTTTGAGACAGGGTCTCTCAGTAGCCCCAGCTGGCCTGGATTAGCTATGGAGACCAGGCTGGCCTTGAACTCACACAGATCCTAACTCACAGAGATCTGCCTGCCTCTGCCTCCTGAGTGCTAGGATTAAAGGCATACGCTACCATGCCCGGCTGCAACCTTTATTTTTTTTACTGGCTTCAAATGATATTTATGAACATATCTTTCTTTTTTTTTAAATATTTATTTATTTTTTATTATTTTATTTTATGTGTATGTGTGTATTGCCTGCATGTAGGTAAGTGCACCCATGTTGTGCAATGCCCATGACGTCAGAAGAGGCTGTCAGACCCCCTGGGACTGGAGTTACTAACAGTTGTTAGCTGCCATGTGGGTGCTGGGATTCGAACCCTGGTCTTCTGCAAGAACAACCAGTAGTCTTTTTTTTTTTTTGGTCTTTTTGAGACAGGGTCTCCTTGTAGCCCCAGCTGTCCTGGAACTCATAATGTAGACCAGGCTGGCCTTGAACTCACAGAGATCCACCTGCCTCTGCCTCCCGAGTGCTGGGATTAAAGGCATGCGTCACCACGCCTGGTATAACCAGTATTCTTAACCACAGAGCCATCTCTCCAGCCCATGAACCCATCTTTCTAAGAATAGAATTACAAGCTGGGCCTGGTGGTATATACCTGTATTTACAACATTTAGGAGGCAAAAGTAAGAGGATCAGAGGTTCAAGGTTATCCTAGGCTACATAACAAGTCAGATACCAGCCAAGGTTCACATGAGAACCTGTCTAAACCCCCTGACACCCAGAAAAACCAGGCAGGAATGGTAGATCATGCTTATAATCCTGGCACTTGGGAGGCAGAAACAGGAGGATTCAGGGTGAGTTCAATGCCAGCCAGAGCTACACAGGGAGACTCCATTTCAAAAAACAAAACAAAAGCCGGCATGGTGGTGCATGCCTTTAATCCCAGCACTCGGGAGGCAGAGGCAGGTGGATCTCTGTGAGTTCAAGGCCAGCCTGGTCTACACAGTGAGTTCCAGGACAGCTGGGGCTACGGGGAGACCGTGTCTCAAAAAGACAAAAAAAAAAACCAAAACCAAAAAAACCTCATATACACAAAAAGAACAGAATTAATTATTCCCAAACTAATGGGTCCACCAGTTTCTGTGCTCATCTTGGCCCTACCCAGCATGTACGTCTGCCAGCTCCTAAGGGCCTCTGACAGCATTAAGGAGTGATGGGCTTTTCTACAAATCCCAAAAGGCAACCACCATCTGCCTCAATGACTACCAGGAAATTTCCCAGTAATGCAAGGTCAAAGATAGTGATCTGACTGGTAAAGCACAGGGGAAGCTAAACATCACGAGCAATCCTAAGAACAGATTTCCAGTGCCTGTAAATCAGCTTGTCAAAGAAGTGACACATCACCAAGTGCTTATTCCCACCTTCCCTGCCCACCAGGTTGCCCTACACTGACCTTCAAAGCTCTTTGGAGACTCCATGCGCTGAGACAGAACAAGGGCATGGGCCAGGGGTGGGGGCATGCAAAAGGAGAGATGTGAAGAAGACAAGTTACCTGACAGACAACGTTATCATAGTGAGCCAAGGCACGGGCATGGGGGGAGGAGATACGGGGAGTGTCGCAAAGTTTCCTTACATTTGGGTGAGAGCCCTCAGCAATGGTGGAGAGGGAGAAGTTATCATTGTGGAGCTCAGATGGGGTCCGGAATTTGCTGGCAGGAAAGAAGAGAGAAGGGAAAAAATTAGGCAAGTGATCATTGCAAAACATAACAGTAGCAGTAACACCAGCTAGCTTCATGGATCAAATACTACACTTCATCATACACCCTGGATTAGAGTAACATGCACCAGGATTTGACACACCATTAAGAAAAACCTTTGGCCACTTAAGCCATGATCACATAGTTTCTTATCACCTCAGATTTTTCTTACATACTTAAAGTAGCACATTTGGACTTTAAAGAACTGACAACGATATGAACAGCTCTGACCGTGTTTGTGCACGCCAGGCAATTACAACGGCATCAAGACAACCATCTGGCCAACAGTGATTATAAGATGCCAGCAATTGTAAGACACAATCCAATTCCAGAGATATTAATATGTGAGGAAAATATGTATCTTAGAATTGAATTGTGGCAGTGTCTGCAGTGCGCTGAGTGCACATAGCAACCTTAGAGCAGTAACTGGGCTCAGGAAGGAAAGAAGAGACATGGAGAAAGGGGCCTCAGCCAGAGAAGGGAGACCTAGAACACAGACACTCCTCCGGCCACAGCTCCTGCTTCTCCTCTTTTCTGGCAGTGGCCCTCCTGCCACTATCCACAATTGCTTTGACTGACGTGGTATCCTGTCCCTGCCCCCTGCACACCTCTGTCTTGGTGTAACCATGGGATGAGGAGCCAAATGTTCTGGCTTGTGTCCCTCTGAAGGGATCATGCGCACAGATATGCCCCCGCCTCAATGCACAGGGACAATGGAGGGACCCTTCCAACCCCACAGCGGTTGGCTGAAGGGTCATAGGACTGCTGCGTCTGCACACCGAATGAGTTTACCCAGCACAGGAGCAACAGATGGTGTTTTGTCTTTTTCCCAGGACCCAGGGAAAGTCCTTCAGTCATAGTCTCGGGAGGGAGTCTCAGGCCAGCAGAATCAATGGGGCAAGAGGATGAAAGGGAAGTGAGGCCAGTGCTGCATAAACTGTCTCTTGAGACCCAAGGAAGCTGGTGGATAGCCTCCTCCTTTTGTGACTACTATGACACTTTAAAAAGGTTTTTTTCTTTTCTTTTTTTTAAAAAATAATTTATTGAGAATTTCATACAGTCATAGAAGCATATAAAGTATTTTAATCAAATCCATACCCACTCCAAAAAGGTTTTTTCTTTTGCTTAGTGATCAGAATGATCCTTTCCTAGTGCATAAGGTCACATTTCAGTGCCCAAAATATGAACTTAATGTAAATGCGGATCAACTCTCAGAAGCACACAAGGCACAGTTCTGTTAAAGGAAGAGCCAAAACGAGACTCTATCTTTGGCCCTTAAAGTCCATAGCATAGGAAGTTAACCTTGACCCCTCATCATCAAATTCTATTCTGTTTGAAGCAGAGGATGACCGGCATTTGTGTGTGTGTGCATGCACGTGTGCCTTCATGTGTGTGTAGGTATGGTTTATTAAAATAAAGCACTCCTTTTTTTTTTATTTTGGTCTTTTTGAGACAAGGTCACCCTGTAGCCACAGCTGGCCTAGAACTCACTATGTAGAACAGGCTGGCCTTGATCTCACAGAGACCTCTGCCTCCTAAGTGCTGGGATTAAAGGCATCTGTCACCATGCCTGGCTGAAGTGCAGCACTCTTAAGAATCAAAGTGGACAATGGTCAAAAGGACTACTGTGGAGCAGTACACACTCAAAAGGTAAGAGTGACGATGGCCAAGAGACTATTACATGAGGCACATCTGGGGGGGGACATTTATTTTTATTTATTTATTTTTGAGAAAGGGTCTTCGGTAGCCCAGGCATGCTTCAAATTCCCTATGTAGCTGAAAATGACCTTGAACTTCTGATCCTCTTGCTTCTGCCTCTCAAGTTCCGGGATTACAGACATGTAGTACCATACCCAGTTTATGTGGTACAGGGGATCAAACGGCAGTTTTGAGCATGTAAGGCAAGCATTCTACCGATTCAGTTACATCCCCAGTGTAAGGGGCAAGCTTTTCAAAAAGCAATGTTGTGAGGAGCTATTGAAGACCAGCAGATCTGAAGGGGAAGGAGTTACTCCACACTGAATTCTGTAATCAAAATTCTCATACTGGCCACTGGTGTCAAAGACTAGGGGAGCAGGTATAGTCAGACAGGGTAGGCAGACTGGATATAGCAACTTACTTAGCGACAAGGGCTGGGACATGCTATGTGCTGGGTGTTGTCTCTTTAGCAGTCGATCCTGGGTAGGGGTGCTGGAATGTGGCTGTGAGCTGCAGTGGGCCGCAGGCCTTAACCTCTGCTATTCCAGCACATTCTATGTATGAATGGATATGGCTAGGTCAACCTTTAGAATGAACAAAAGAGCTAGGGATAAAGAATCACTGGCAAAAACTCTCCTGGGAACATCCCAAGGTTAGGGGTCACACACACACACACACACACACACACACACACACACACACACACTGCAGGGTACAGACTTACTTGGTCCTCCGCAGCTTGGTATTCTCAGTCTTGAGCAGGTAGAGCTTCTTGGCAAAAAACACGGTCATCATGAACAGCAGGAGCAGCACCAGGGCGGCTGAGCCAATGGCCACACACATCACTTGGAAGTCAGTGATGATGGACTCGCAGCGCATCCCCTTGTGCCAGATGTAGTCCTGTGTGTTGCACCTGCAGGGACACAGTGGGACCCAGGTGGTGGGGCAGGCAGCCTTGGCCAGAGCAAGAGCCTGGCTCTGCTGCCAACACTCACCTCAACAGCCTGCTCTGAGGACTGCCTACAAGGGACTGCAGCATTCCCAATCTGAGACGACTGCATGGTCAGTATGCTCACCCCATCTTTATAGATGGTCTATGAAATACACCAGGCAGATATGAGGTCCATGACAGAAATGAGGTGAGCAAAGCCCCAAGAAACTGAGTAAATAGCTCTAAGTTACATGACTGCTAAGTGACAGAGGGAACAGAATCTGGGTTTCTGCCTTATAGCCTCAGGGAGGCAAATCACAGGATTCTCAAGCTTCTGTCTGCCTTGGCTCTGGGTGAAAGACAGATGATAATGTCACACAGGATGAACGGGAGCTATGGCTACCAAGTACTGGGACCTGCCCTGCACATACAAGCCTCTCTTGTTGCTAGTTCACATGGCTAGCCAGACACTGAAAAATAAGGAACTGACAGACACAGAAATGGATGGATAGTCTCTTCTTCCCCCCGAGCCCCACAAAGTTCTGTCCCTAAAGCTTATGACTGTGAGAACTAACGTGCCTGGATAGAGGGAATCAACCCCTTGGGGTGGGTTTTAGTCCTTTTGTTGAGTGACTTTCTTCTGCCCTTGGGGACATTCCCAGGCTCCAACTCTTCCAATGACATTGCTGTTTCCATGGGAACCAGGCTGCTTCAAAGAGGAAAGATGTGGAAGGATACAGAGGCAGGCAAAGGAGGGAGGACATGAACCTCAGGGTGAATGACAGACTACAGAAAGGGGCACAGAGATGGGGGAAATCATGCACCCAAGAAATGGCTACTTCACATCCAGAATGGGATGAGGTGATGTGGCTAGTAAGGGATTTTCCTTTGTTTTCCAACCGAACCTCTGCAGATGGATCTATTTAAGGTTGCCAGGGAATGCAGACACCTCTAAGTGGGGGCCCTCTAACCCAATGTTCTAGAAAAGTTCTGCCATAGCTCGGATTGTTTCCCTGCAGTGGGTCAGGGTGACAGAGACAAAGGCATGCTGCAGCTTGCAAGCAAAGTCTCAGCAGTCTTCTGTGAGTAGAATGTAAAACAGTTTGCAAGCATCAGCCAGACTTGGGTGGGCAAAGCTGGAGCAGGAGCCTGGGTAGAGAAGCTTGAGTGTAATCCTGGGATGGAGGTTAAGTGAGGGGAACTTCTGTGGGCCATGTGGAGAAGTCCTTCAGAGGTGGACAGCAGCCATGCAAATCAGTGAGGAGGCCAATCTTACTCATAGCTACAAATTCCCTGAGAGCTCCAGGATGTTCTGGGTACTTTTGTGGCTCTCTAGGGGCAGCAACTGTGATGGGAAGCTCATTTTAAAGGTAAACATGTCAGGCCTCCAGTAGAGTGAAAGATGATTTTGTAGATTCCACTGTTCCCAGGCTAAAATGACCACTACAGTTTTCCAACCCAAAACGAGAGCAAAAGCACAGGGCCCCCATACATTTCTGGTGGTCCTTATTGCTACCAGAATTTTTCTTTTTTGAGACAGGATTTCATGTAGCTCAGGGTAGCTTCAAACTCACTATGTAGTAGAGGCTGGCCCTGAACTCCTGACTCTTTTGCCTCCCAAGTGCTTAGATTACAGGCACCATACTCCTCCACTCACCATGAGTTTTTGATCAAAGTAACTACTCTTGGAAATGGCTGGACACCTCCAACCAGAACAGTGTAGTCATATCCTATATGGGTGACCATAGTGTGATGACCATCATCTATAAGAGGAAAGGACATTGAACAGAACTAGGACTCAAGCCTCAATGCAAAGGTCATGACATTTGCTGCTGTCACGTTAGTCTACCATCAGCACATCAAACCCTAAGAAACTTGATTCTTTTTTGGTCTTTTTGAGACATGGTCTCCCTGTAGCCCCAGCTGGCCTAAAACTCATTTTGTAGACCAGGCTGGCCTTGAACTCACAGAGATCCACCTGCCTCTGCCTCCCAAGTGCTGGGATTAAAGGCTTGTACCACCATGCCTGGCTAGTTGTCTACTTCTAAAGAACCACTCAGACTACCTTTGATTTATGGCAATGAGTTCTCAAGCAGAGAACTATCTCCCTGTGAGGGCAGTTCCCACAGGTGAAGTAACTGGAGTAATTACTGCAGGGGCGTAGGATACTGACTGCAGATGATGTCCTCAGGGATCTCCAAACTCTGTTTTTGAAAACATCATAGATTTGCTAACCCGAAGGCAAGTACCAATTGAAGAGAGCCTCCACCCAGTCAAGAATACCCTAACCTGCAAGGCTTTGTGGAAAGACTCAGCTTGATTTCACCTATGTGAGTGGCTGTTCTTCTGGGTCTGCTCCTAGGGTTGTTATTTTGAGTTTAAACGTCCACATCCCCTTCAGGGACACTGGGTCCTCTTGCCAAACAGACATAGCTTGGAAGGGTGCTCAGTCTTCTTAACTTCATAGCAGGGTTCCAGGCCTCCTACCTTCCTTACTAGTATGACTAACACCTTCCAAAAAAGCTCAAGACCACAAGCTCTCTTCCTAAAGTCCTTGGGCAAATCCCTCCACTTTTCCTTTAAAGTTGAGTGGTTTGGGAAGGACTTTTTTTTTTTAATCTTTTGAGACAGGGTCTCTCTGTAACCCCAGCTGGCCTGGAACTCTCTATGCAGACCAGGCTGACCTGGAGCTCACAGAAATCTGGCAGCCTCTGCCTACCAAGTGCTGGGATTAAAGGCATGCACCACTACACCCATTTTTTTTTTTTTTTTAAACTAGGGACTGGAGAGATGAGGGCTCAGTGGCTAAGAGCACTGGCTGCTCTTGCACCCACATGGTGGCTAACAACTGTTCATAACTCCAGTTCCTGAGAAGCCAATATCCTCTTCTGGTAAATGTGGGTATTACACAATGTGGTACATTTACATACACATAAGCATGAAAAAAAATTAGCCCATGCTAAGCTCAAACTCACAATCATCTGGCCTCAGTCCTCAGCCTCTCTAATGCCAAGATGTGGGCCCACTATGCCTGGCTCTGAGTGAATCTATCTTAATTTGGGAATTCTGTGAATGTCCAACCTCTGGGAAGTTGTGCCTCTCAAATTTTGCGCTTTGCCGAGTCTGCCCCATCTTGGGGACTCAGGTGTTGTTTTACAAACCCCTGAACCCTTACCTGCAGAAGGCCCCTATGTTCTCCACCAGGTAGCACTGGCCTCCATTGTGACAGTAACTTGGGAAGAGGTCACACACTGATCGGCAGGAACCATTATGCCGGACAAAGCCGCTGCGGCACTCAGTGCCATTTTCTGCTGAGGCCAGGTCCCTGCCTGGCTCTCCTGGGCGGGGCCTGAGGGCAATGCTGCTGCCAGGGACTATCCCCAGAGTATGCTGTGGAGGTACAGCATGCCACCGACTGGTGGGCTGGCCTGTTCCAGGCCCGAAACCAGGCTTCTGAGAGGGCAGAAGTTCATTTTCATCTTCCAGGTCTCCACCTCCCAATGCATCCTTGTCATCTTCCTCCTCTTCCTCCTCCTCCTCCTCTTCCAAATCATCATAGAAGGATGTGGTAGGGTAGAAATCCGACTCATCAAAGGGGGTGAAGTCATCGTATAAGTCAAGCAGGCTCCAGGAAGGGGTCTCTCCTTCAGTATCAGGGTGATTCTCTGAGGTACCTGGTGACACTGGGAAGCTGCCCAGGTCTGCACCACGACCCTCACTATCCAGTCCTTCAAAGTAGTCGATGTCAATTATATCTGAAGCTGGTTGGGTCTCTGGAGTGCCTTGAAGGGGATAAGTAGGCTCTGGCCCTTGAGGGTCAGGTGTGCTTCCTCCCAGGTTCAGCCAAACCTCCAAGGGGCTCTCCTTAGGGAGTTCTGGGCCTCCACTAGGCATATCATGGGTAGTTGGGGAGGGAGGCCCACTGGCTTCAGTAGCCTCTGGGGTAGCAGGGGGCACTGTAGCCGGCCCAAGGGCCTCATCAGGAGCCTGGAGTGTAGTTGGAAGGGGCTGGGCGTCGCCACTGCCAGCCTCTGCAGTCACTCCACCCATGCCTGGACTGTCTGCCTCTAGCCAGGCTGTGCCAGTCACTGAAGCCGATGCCTCCAGTGCCTCCTCTGGCCCGACCCCAGGGCCCACCGCAGCCAGCTCACTGCCGGGCGCTGTCCACGAGGTCTCATCCTCCCCAGCTGCTGGCAGGTCGGCTTCCTCCCGCGTGTCATTGGCACGCGGCTCCCATGCCAGGCCGCTCCTCACCAGCTCTTCTGCCTCGATCGCGCTGCCCGCCTCGCGTGCTGTGGGCGGGAAGGCGAGGGGCAGGGCGTCAAGGTGGCGGGTGAAGGTGAGGGAGCCCTGAACCCAATCCACTAGACCCGGGGTCCACCCTAGGACGCTGCTTCAGAGGCCAAGGCCACGCCTCACTTTTACGATACGCCCCTGAGCCCTCCTCTGAAGCAGGGAAATAGACCTTGCATATGCTTTCCCGCCCCAGACCTGACCCAAGGTCTCGGACACTGGGTCGGGGCAGCCCCACAATGCCGGTCCACCCACATCTTATCCTCAGGGCCCCGCCCCACCCACAAACCCCGCCCCGAAGTCCACCCACAGGCCCCGCCCCTGATCGAGGCCCCGCCCCTGCTTCAAGACCCCACCCCCACCTCAGCCCACCCTGGGGTCCGCGCGAAGGCTACGGCTGCTCCCCTTCGACCTGTGTCCCGCACAGGTCTCCTCCTCCCCCCGCGCCCCTTTCCCGTCCCGGTCTGCGACTGCAGGCAAGGCGGTGCCCCGCCCCCTTGTCACGGCTCGGGGACTCCACCTGTCCTCGAAGCCAGCGAGAACCCGACACGGGGAGGGACGCTAGGGCTTGCTGGGGTCGCGGTCGGTACCTACCCGGCACGGCCCCAGCGGTGAGGACCAGCGTGGCCCCCAGAAGCAGCAGCACTAGCGGCGGCCCCCGGCCTGAGCCCCCGCCCCCGGCTCGGCCCATGGCGCGTTGCTCTGGCTGCCGCGCGCTCGGTGCGGCTTGGCTGCGCCCTCGGCGTGCACGGCAGCCGCGCCTCCCGCCCGTGCTTGCGGCCGCCTCAGCCCACGGTGGGCAACACGAGCCGCCGCATGCCGCCGTCACCGCTGTCCTCCGTGCGCCGCGCCTCCCCGCCTCCCGCGCCGCCGCTGCTGCCGCTGCGCTCTCTCGGCGCCGCCCCCACTCCGCCCGCCCTGCACGTAGCGCTGACGCCTGCCCCTCTCGGTCTTGCTGGCCCGGGGTACGGACGGTCTAGACCCCCTTTCGCTCGGAGCGGGGAGATGGTCGGACGTGCGTCGCGCAGGGACTGCTGCAGAGCCGGCGAGAGCCGACAGGTGCACCGGCGGGAGCCCGGCGGGGCGGGCCAGCCGGCCTGCGCTCCCAGAGCTGCGCGCCCTGCAGCGGACCTCCGAGGAACCCACACGCCGAGCGCCGAGCAGGGAGGCGGGGTCGTCGCGGGCTCAGATACCCGCAGGCTCGGGGCGGGGCTCGGAAAGGCGGTAGGGGGCGGAAGTCCGAGCCCCCAATGTGGACACCAGCAGGGCCCTGGGTGCGCGGCTCGGGGGTTTCTGAACCAACCCGGTTTCAGGGCAGGAAGGTTCTCTGGCCGGTCTCCGGGTTTCCACGAGGGCGGGGAGGGCAGAACCTGGCAAGGGGGCGAACACCACAGCTCAGGCTCTAATCCGTCTGCAGCGAAAGCCACTAGCTCAGATTTTGCACAGCCAGGTCTACCCAACACATTACTGGGCAATGGTGAGAGCCCCTCCCCAGCACTTCAGCTACGCTACGCCTTGCTTCCTAAACCCAGGAGCTGTAATTCGGGTCCCTTTCTACTTCCCCCCAGATGCATCGTCCCTCAGGTGACCTGAGCCACCAAGACTTAAGTTCCTGGGTAAATTACTGCCCTGGCGCACAGGGATGTGGGTCCAGACCTTACCCTGGGGGACACCAGTTCACTTCTTACAGGAAGACCCAGGACCATTCATTCCCCGAGGCCTGTTTGGTCGCGAGGCAAAGCCATAGCATAGCCTACTCACCCAGTCGGATCCCCTCCAATTGCCTGCCTCCTGATGTGTTATTATCCACCTAAATGATTGTGCTCAGAGTCTCAGCCCAAAAACATGGGGCAACACTGGTGTTAGATGCTTTCATTTTTTACCTTGCAGAGCCCATCACCTAATCTGTCTCATATGTCTCCTGGTGTTTCCTTTTCTCACACCACAACTGCTGCGGCCAATTTGCCCAGCCTAGAGTCCCTTCTGTGTCTGGCAAACTCTTTGTGCCAGAAAAGCTCAATTTCCTATCACTCTGCCCTCTGTAACGCCCACTCAAGCTCACTCAGGCAGTTAGGCACTATGTTCTGATCACGCCTGCTGAGAGGTAGGATCTGTAGGGACTGTAAATGGCATCTACAAAGCAATGGAAACTACCCACATCTGCCCGGAGCCATGAGACTGCCTTACATAGCAATACACCCTTATTCACCTCTACTGCTCTTGTCTGTGTCACCTTTTATTACTCTCTGGGTTCCTCTCCTCTGTCTCTACAGTTCTTGGGTAGTGGTTATCCAGTGGATACTGATGGATGGCTTACCTCTTCATTCTGAGGCCAGTCTATGTGAAGGTCTCAGGGGTAGGTCTCTTGATATCTGAGGCATGGTTTCGATAGTCTTCTCTTACTCATGAGAAAACTAAAAACTAGGGAAAGCACTTGCTAGGGAGACCCTAGGTTCAATCTCCAGTACAGTAAAATATTATACATAAATTTATTTGCCAGGCATTGTTAGCTCATGCCTGTGATTACAGCACTAGGGAGACCAAGGCAGGGTTGGCATGAATTAAAGGCCAGCCTGGGCTACAGTATGAGATCCTGTTTTGAGAAAAAAACCAAGGAACTCCTAGCTTGTTTCCCTATCGTTTACATTTTGTAACTATTCTAATTTTTTTTTTCCATCAGCAAAACATGGTACAAAATATGTCTCTTTCCTCAACAATCTTCTTTCCTCCCTGGGGCCAAATTGTTCCTTACTCCAGTTTGGGAATTTGTATGTTACTGGGAAATTGAACTCAGGACCTTTGTGCAGGCAATTACTGTGTCAATGAGCTACATTTCCAGGACCAATTTGGGATTTGAGAACTGTTGTCATTCTGAGCCTCCCTATCTCACTAGAAGTTTTAGAACTGAGTATATAGCACACTTGGTTTGGTGACACACATAAAATGAATAGGAAAAGCTCATTCAGGCAGTGGTCTGTGATGGGAAAATTTGGAATCACATCTGTGTGACCTTGGATATAGTCACCTGAGTCTCCGATGTGAAAGGGTTTGGCAACCATACTGTCAAATGTAGTGCATGCGTGATGTATGAAGGCTGGGGAAAGCTAAAGAAAAGGTATGTGAGAACTGGACAGTGACTGCCCTACACTACACCTTACCATGCCCTCCCATTGATGTCACGCACATTTGGGAGCCATTTGGTAAACTATTTTACATTACAATGGTTTCTATGTGCCTGTTTCGTACTGGGTTTTGGCGACTTGCCTCCAGAGCCAACGTGTGCACAAAGATGTCACATGCATCCTTATACATGGACTGGAAAGCCACTGGCTTCACCAGGATGGGTTAGGGATACTGTCCAGGTCAAGAGCTGCTCTCATTACCATGAAAGGGGTCGTTTGATCTGGGTTGTTTGATCATAGTTCCTGGCTTTAAATCCCCATTATTGACAACATACTGAGATTTTTTTTAGCTTTTCGTTTAAAAAATCTCCCCCTGCCCGCCTTTATTGTCTTTTTGACACAGGGTCTACCTGGAACTTGCTATGTAGACCAGGCTGACCTCAAACTCAGAGAACCACGTCTCTGCCTCCTGAATGCTGGGACTAAAGACATGTGCCACAATGCCCGGCTTAAAAATTACTTTTGTGTGAGTGTACACGCATGTGGTCAGGGACAATATGTGGGAGTCTGCTCTCCCTTTGACCTTATATGGGTCTGGAGGATCTAACTCAGGTTGTCAGGCTTGGTGGCAAGTGCCTTTACTCTCTGAGCCATCTTGAGTGCTGTAATGTGCTTTATTTTTCACAATTATACTACAAATCTGTTTTATTTGCAAGCTGATAAGATTTAGTATAGTCGTCCACCACCACATTAATAGCATGGCTAGGACTTGAAGCTTATTTCATTTGACTATTGAGGCTTTTTTTTTTTTTAATTTTATACTATGACCATCTTGCCTTCATGTGCATATAAATGCACCATGTGTGTGCAATGCCTGTGGAGGTCCTGGAACTGGAGCTGATGGTTGTTAGCTGCCATGTGTGTCCTGGGAACTAAAAACCAGGTCCTCTGGAAGAACAGCAAGTGTCCTTAAACCACTGAGCCATTCTCTGGCCACTCCCCACCCTTTTTGGCTTTTTGAGGCAAGACTCTCCTGGTAGTCCCAGCTGGCCGAGGTGTAGACCAGGCTGGCTTCAAGTGCAGAGATCTGCCTGCATCTGCCTCCCAAGTGCTGAGATTAAAGGTGTGTACCACCACACCTGGTTTCACTTTAAAAAAGATGTATTTCATATGTATGTTTCACCTGTATATATGTATGTACATGCCACATGTCCAGAAGGCCAGAAGAGGGCATCAGATACCCTGGAGTTACAGCTGGTTGTGAGGTGCACTGTGGGTGCTGAGAACAAAACCAAGTTCCCCTGCAAGAGCAGCAAATACTCATAGCCATTTTCTCCAACCAACTTCTCTTCTTAAATTTCAGACAGGGGATCAGGATGCAGAGTAGGGCAACAGAAGCCTTGCCTCTACCTTACCCACTCCAACCCCACTTTCATCTGGCATTTAACACTATGCTCTTTTCTCTCCTTAGAACATCATTATCTCATAATCTAGACTGGTCTTAAACTTGCTATGTAACTAAAGCAAGCCTCTACCTCCCAAATCCTGGGGTTACATTGACCGTCACCAAACCCAGCTGCTATCTGGTATCAGGGAACACTACAGACAAAGCTCATGATCCTGAACTTGGGGGTAATCTGCTTGGACTCTTTTTTTGGATGGGCTTCCAGGAACAGGACTACGGGCCAGAATCCCTTGTGTTGACTACAACCTCCTCATGCTGAAGTCTCAGTGTGCTCATCTCAGAAAAGGATTATCACAATGTGGATTAGTCACCTTGTGCAGGCAATGGTTCGACAGCACATGGGAAAAGGCATCCAAAAGCCAGATAAGCCAACAGATAGCTAACTAGATTTCAAAAAAGACCTGCCTCGGCAGGTGACCTGAAGTTTTTGCAGATAAACTGACCTAGATATGGGTCAGAGATGAGGGCAAGAGGATCAGTTGTTGAAAGCAATCCTGAACTGTGTGAACCTTGCCTGGGGGCGGTACATGGAGTAAAGAATGCCACAGAAGTGCAAACTGCTACTAGAAATTCATGAGGGCCAAACCAGACACAGAAATCCGCCTGTGCAGAGGGATTGTCATAATCCTGATAGCTGCCACTGAAACACCCTTCCACCTATCTGGCAAGTCATGTAAGATGGCTGGCTGCTATGGACCCAAGTGGGAGACATCCTTTCTTCCACTACCAGGTTGTCGTGGGTGGTGGTCACAGTACTGTATTAAGGCACAGACATTTTGCTGAGGTACTCAAAAACCGTACCTTTAGGGCAGGTGGTGCTATCTCCTCAGAAGTGTAAAGCTGCTGCTGAAATCACCTGGTTACTCTCCAGGAAGCTGCAAGACTGTAGAAAGGACTTTGGGAGCAGAAGTGGTAAAGACATCTCTAATTTTGCAACATGGAAAAAGTATAAACAGGGACCAGAAAAGGGCAAGTTGCTCCAAGGGGGTTAGTTGTAATTGGTTCCAACTTCTGGGTTGGTTCATGTAACTCCCTACCTTTAGCCACCCTGTGACAGTCTGTCTCAGCTCTGCCCCAAGTTCAGGACCAAAGGTACTGTCTAATAACGATTAGCACACCTAAAAATGTCACAGGGAAATGAGGCAGAGGGTCACTGAGTGCTGGGCTTGAAGGGCAGCACTCCTTCACATATTTTGGCATTCCAATCTGAATGACAACCAATCTCCAAGACCAGGGATGATGGTGTATACCTATCATCCTTGCACTTTGGACACTGAGATAGGAAATTGAGTGAGGCCAGCCTAAGCTACAGGGAGGGACTGTCCACAAAAAAATGACCTATTAAGTGAAGATGATTCATTGATAAGGACCGAGCTGTCCTGTTTCCACAAAGAAAACCTTCAACACAAAAATATGCTTCTAGAGCTTGAAAAACCAGGGACTTCTATGATGAACAGGCAGAGTTCTCAGGAGCTGGCACTGGCCATTCAGATGGAGTTTTCCTAGACAGAAGTCAGCTGCTTGGGGCTGGAGAGATGGCTCAGTGGTTAAGAGCACACGCTGGCTACTCCTGCAGAGGACCCAGGTTTGATTCCCAGCACCCATATGGCGGTTAACAACCATTTATAATTCCAGTTGCAGGAGATCCAACCTCCTCTTCTGACCTCCAGTGGCACTGGACACACTTACATGCATGCAGGTAATACACTCATACATCTAAAAATAATAAAAAACTAAAGGAAAAAAAAAGTCAGCCCCTCAGATTATCATCTGCAGCCATGACAGAAGTCAGGGATTGCACTCAAGATATCTGATGCAATTATGGCAGACTATTCAGTTCATATTTTACACATTATACAACTCAAGAAATCTGCCTCCCAAACACTGGGATTAAAGGCACATGTGAGCCATCAAGCCCAGCAATTTAGGAACTAATGATTACACTGTCATTACAAAATGCTAGCAGTAACTATACTCTGGTTATCACCCACCATAACTGTAAATGGACTACCTCATTTCCAACTGTGACTTCTGCCTGGCATGGTGGTGCCAGAGGTAGGAGGAGCGCAGTGAAATCGTGGTCAGCCTCAAAAATCAACCACCTGCCCCCAAATGAAAACTTAAAGCAACTGTTAACTTTCTTGCACACAAAGTTCTTCTGTACTTCACAGTAGGGCCTCAAATGTTGACTGAATGAAAGGTCTCATGGAAGTACTATCACACCTTTTCTGGCCCTCACTGGCCAGAAGAGGGTGTGAGGTTCCCTGGAACTGGAGTTAGGGACAATTGTCATGTGGGAATCCACATGACAGGTTTTCTCCAAGAGCAGCCAGTGCTCTTAACTGCTGAGCCATCTCTCCAGCCCCTACCACACCTTTCCTAAAATGTGTGTGCAGAGATGGGAGGACAACTTGTAGGTGTCCACTCACTCCTTCCACTATGTGGGTTTCAGGGAATGAACTTAGATCATCATGCTCAGTGGCAAGCAAGGTCACCTGCTGTGCCACCTCACCTTAAACAGTGGTTCTTAAAGGAAGAACTTTGACCAATGACATCAGTATCCCCTGGGAAACTTTTTAAAAATCTGAAACTTTAGATCCACTGGATCAGCAGCTCACATATTAGTCAAGTGGCTCTATTCCATAGTCAAACTCATTTTTTTTTTTTTTTTTTTTTTGAGACAGGGTGTCCCTGTAGCCGGGAGGTTACTATGTACACCAGGCTGTCCTTGAACTCACAGAGATCTGCCCGTCTCTGGGATTAAAGGTGTCCATCATGATACCTGGTTCAAACTCAATTTTTAAAAAGATCTTATTCCTGTGCATGTTTATTTGTGAACATGTACCATGTGTGTGCCTAATATGGGTTCTGGGAACTGAACTCTGGTCCTCTGGAAGAGTAGCAAATAGCAAATGCTCTTAACCACCTCTCCAGTCCAGTTCAGTTTTTCTTAGTGTCTCATTGTAGCCCATCAAGACCTTTGACTCCCAGTCCTCCTGACCCCTACCCTCCCAAGGGCTAGGCTTAAGGGTTTAGGCTACACAACTAGCTTCATAATTAAGTTTGAAAACGTATTAATTCAGAGAATTTTTAATAAGGATTTGAGCAACTTATTGCCAACTAGTTGACCACACATGCTTAATAAATAAAAAAAAAAAAAAAAAAAAAAAAGAACCCATGGGGCTGGGCGTGGGGGAGCACTCCTTTAATCCCAGCACTTGGGAGGCAGAGGCAGGTGGATCTCTGTGAGTTCAAGGCCAGGCTGGGTTACACAGTCAGTTCCAGGACAGCTGGGGGTACAGGGAGACCCTGTCTCAAAAAAACCAAAAAAAAAAAAAAAAAAAAACCTTAAAAATAATTCATAGTAAGAGCTGGAGTGATGGCTTAGTGATTAAGAACACTGACTGCTTTTGCACAATACCCAAGTTCAGGGGCTTGATGGCTCAGTGGTTAAGAACACTGTTTTTGCAGAAGACCTGGGTTCAAATCCCAGCACCCACATGGCAGCTAACAATTGTCTCTAACTCCAGTTCCAGGGGATCCAACAGCCTCTCTGCCCTCCAAGGGCATTGCACGATATGGGTGCACTTACCTACATGCAGGCAATACACACATACAAAAAAAAAAGACCCAAGTTCAGTTCCTAGAGTGCACACCACAGCTAACACCCATCTCTAATTCCAGTTTCAGGGAATCTGCTGCCTCCTTCTGGCCTCCACAGGCATTGCATGCACATGGTGTATTTACATTCGGGGAAGATAATACACACTAAAAAAAAAAATTAATACTCAAGTTTACAAACCAGTCTTTGATTAGTTTGAAGAGTAACTGCTTCCATCACCCTTTGGAGAGACTAGTAATCACTTGAGACCTAAACAGTTTTAGGTCTTGGCTAAAGACACTTTCATGGTGGACAAAGTGGTTGGCTTCCTTTGCTTTACTGGACCCATAAGCATCTTGGAAACAAGACTTTTTTTCACACAAGGTTTATACCTATGGAGGGAAAAAACTGTCCTTAGAGTAGGTCATGGTCATAGAACCTTCGGCAAGAAAGCCTGCTTTCAACTTGGGGTCATCTAAACTGCATTCTGCCATTCTACAGCTCTTTAGCAAGACCATCTCTCCTCCGAAATCCCAGGATGTTGGGTATCCTTTCCAGAAAACATCCATTCATCTTTCTTCACTTTGAGGATGAAGGCACTCAAATGGGTGAGGTATTCAAAGGCTTGTTCATTCCTGACACAACACAAAATCAGCCAAAAGGCCTTGAGCCAAGAATCCTTAACTGCTAACCAAGACCAGGCCAGACAGAATATTTAGGTTCTTTTATAGGACACCTGATGAAATGGATGAATGCAGAGAATGGGACTAGAATTCAAAAATGGTATTTCATTTATTTGATGAAGAGGGAGATTAAGCCACTTTCATTTTCTTCAAATCTCTCAAAATTCTTTCCCCTCATTTTTCCAAAACAACACAGAGAAACATATTTGTACAAAAACTATGTATTATCCCCCCTGCCCCAAACTGGGTGGCTGTATTACAGGAATGAAACCAGATGAAAGACATGAAAAAAGTCACCACTTACACTGGAGAATTCAGATATTTTTGTAGGTTACCAATACAGTAAAAATATTTCCACTTGGGTCTTTTAATCTGGAAAGTGATCACATTAAAGACCTGAGGTTACACAGAACCACAGTATGAACCAGAATCCCACTCTCTTTCCAGGACTCCAGGAGAAAAGGTGAGCATTTGGAGTAAATTTCCTCTGGGAGAATGGAGGGAAGTAGGGCAAACCCTGGCCCCTTCAGAAGGCACTGGGGTCTTTCAGAGGCAAATGACTAGGAAATTAACTCCAGTAGGAACAAGCTCATTTCCATTTCCACTTCTAGAGTTCAGAACAAACACAGCAAAGGAATATGGTCTTCTTGGTTCCAGTATTCCAGTACTCTGATGGTGACCAGGGCCACCTGTTTAGAGGCAAACCTGAGAGTTTCAAAGGCAAATCTCAACCATAGTTTTATTTTTTTTGCTTTCTGATACTAAGGGAAAAAAGTTATAAGGTGTTTTTATAAACACCTGCCTACACCCTTTCATATGTAAAGCTTTAGAAAATATATAGGAAAAGATATCCAAAGAGATGTTCTACCTCACATTCAAATCGATGAAACTGCTGTTTGAGAAGATGAAGCTCTGCCAAAAACACCTACTTGTTACCCATGGAAGGCCAGGAAAAAGCGAAGCAGGGCAAGCCAATAAAACCAAGAACTCTCAAATCACAAATCAGCAGGGGTAGGTATGAGTTCAAATTAAGGCATTTTTGTGGCTCATCTTCTGGAATGGCACCTCACCTGCTCAGCGTGAGCACTTAAACCTTAAAGCATAATGCTCTGCAGTCAAGTGAGGACCTCAGCAACTTCTCAACAACCCTGTGACAGATGGAATGTGATATCTCAGAAGGGGAAAGGAGAAGGTATGGGAGGCTGTTCCCCTTACTTTTCCAATTCCATTCTGAACCTAAAGTACCGCTTCTAGAAATTCCACTCACCCAGGCTACTGCAAGAGGTAGTTTAGGGACTTGTACCCCCAGCCATCCCAACCAAGTTCCATGAACTGAAATATTTTTATGTTACCTACTTACCGCCTCTCCCCTCTTTCTTAAAGGAGGATTTAAAAAGAATACATATAAAGCAGAGCTGTGGTGGTGGGGTGTGTGTGGAGATGGTATGTGCTTAGGGAGCACTGCCCTAGATTCCTTCAACTATCCTGGCTGAAGTGGAAATTCAAAAGAATGCCACCCCAAATTCCCACCTTCAAAGCTCACAATGCCCTCAGGAAAAACCACACAGCCCCAATCCAGCAAGTCACCTGTATAGAAAACGAGAATGGTGCATTGGGAAAGAGTAGGTGTGTTCAAATGTTTGTGCACACGCTAGGTACAGTGATATGTTCTGCCATGCAGGTGGAGGCCTTAACAGTCCTTGCTAGGGAATGAAACCTCCTTCCCCAGCTCTAATTCTGGTGCATTTTATGTAGGAAAAGTCTTGGGAAACTTTACCAGTAGCACCACTCTTAGCTCAGATAAGCAGAAATAAGGTCACTTATAACGCCTTAAGGTATATCCCCTGTGGCTATCTCCTTCTGCCCATCACTTTTTTCTTTTTCTTTTCTTTTTTTTTTTTTGGTTTCTATTCTCTTAGAATGCTTTCCTTAAAACCAACCATAACAGGAAAAAAGGATAATAATTATAGAGGATTATCCACAGAAGCATAAGGTAAGCAGGGTGTGGGGGGGGTGATGAATATGCTACAGCTGACAGTATCTGCAGATCCATTGCCAACATCCGCCACACAAAGGGAGACACAGGTTATTTTAAAATGACCAAGACAGACGGTCATCACAGACTCCCCACTGAGTGTCAGCTGAGGACCTGACAGAAGTACAAGAGTATAGAGTAGTGGTGAGACATGGGATACAGAACTGGGGCTCTGAGAAGAAAATTCCTGAAAGAAAGCCAAGGAAGCTGAGACACAAGTCTTGTCATCTCCATCTCAGCTTGTGGTAAGTGTGGAGGCTCCCTTTATCTTCCAGGCTAAGGAGTGGCTGAGGCTGGTGGGCCTGGAGCAGGAGGTGGTGGGACCCCATCTGCAGGTGGTGGCGGCGGTTGCTGCTGTGGCGGAGGAGGATCTGCAAACACATCCAAGGTAACTCGTCATTGCTGGAAACACAGGGGCTTGGGGAAAAGGCCATTCAATGGGAAAGTGACAGGAGTAATTTTCTTTGTGACAGACAAGCAACATGGCCTAAGTGGCATTGCTAACATTGAGTTCCCAATGGTCAAGTGCACATGAACCTCTCAGCTGCTGCTTGTGTTGCTCACCATACCCCAGAGATGGTAGCAGGAGGCCTCTGAAATCACCCTACCCTACTTGAAGGCCCACTCATTCCAAGAATCACTCCAGACTTTTTAGAACATAATTGTATTTTCATTTTATTGTAATCTAATTATTCTAATTGTATTTCACCAATTAAATAATAAGTGCTTTGTGAGCTAATTCTGTGTCTTTATCTTTCTTTATTCCATGGTGTCTAGCCTAGCTGGGCACAGGAGAGATTATCCAATAACTTCTTGTTGATTAACTGTTTCCACCAGGGCCAGAGAACTTCACTGAGGCAGCTGTTGACAAGCTGGATAGTCTTGGGAGGCCCTCATAGCGCCTCAACTGCAGTCCTTGGATTTTTGGCCCAAACTAGGTCAGGTCCTGAAGGGAACAATTAGTGTGAGTGTCTGGGCTCTTTCCTACTTTATCTGCTTTAGTGTAAGAACTCTAGAGATCATTTAATCGAAGGTTTAAAAACAAAACAAACAAACAAAAAACCTCTAGATCTTGCCAGAAATGAAAATATATGAAACAAAGTTCATCTTTGCTCATCAGTCATCCACCCAACCTTACTCCCAAGAGGTTGTCACCAAACCTCTAAAGCTCTTCAAAGCATTTTGAAGCCCCATCACCTCATCCCGTGTTATCTTTAGTGAAAGAAACTAAAGTGGGAAGGGAAGCAACTCATGCAGTGTGGCCTGCCCAGTGCCTAGAGCCAAGCCAGAAACTCAGGTTCTCAAAAGACCCCATTTATGGCAGAGGACTATCTGAAATACTCCACGTTCTCAAGGTACTCCTCTGAGGACCCTTCAGGGTAGAGTCCTGGTATCACAAATCACAGAGAACAATAACAAAAACCAATGATACTAACTATGTACCAGAAATGGCAAACTGGGTGAGCTCTCTTGGAAGGCTAGCTTGTCTGCTCTCGATATGGCTTGGCAAGCATTTCTTGCCAAGAAAGAACTATCCACTGGACTATAATATTTGACTACAAGCCTCAAGGGAAATCAGTTTTTTTTGTTTTCCAAGAATAATATAGTGCATTCAAAGTATTTTCTAATCTCGTGTAACTTTTATTTTAATTAATTAACATTTCTCTGGACATGTTCTTATGTGTGGATGGGTATGTGTATACATCAGAAGAGTATTTCTACCATGAGGATTCCAGGGACTGAACTCAGGTTGTCAGGCTTGGTTAGCAAGTGCTTTCACCTGATTGAGCCATCTTATTGGCCCCCTCCTGTAACTTTTACTAATCCTATCAAACTTAACCTTTTCTTCCATCTCCTTCCTTTTTTATTTAAGGAAGAATGAGCTTATTCTGAATCACAGTCCTAGGACGCAAGTCCAACATGGCAGGGAAGTCATAGCAGCAGGAGCTTAAGGCAGCTGGTTGCTTATACTGTATCCATAGTTAGGAAATGAGAGAGAGAGGAATGCTCCTAAGGGCCAAGGATTCTTACATCACTTATTCTATATGGTGAAGACACTAACTTCTGGTCACATATATAAACTTATTAATAAATCAAGGATTACAGCAGGATTCTTCTCGTTAAGCATGTCTGCAGGATTTGGAGGCAAAAATGGGGCAGGGCAAGGGACTATGGGGTTAGTGAACTGGCCTCTGAACACAAGGTTATACAGATGCTACTGAGCTGCACCAGGGTTGTCTCTATCTCATACTCCTTTATCAATACAGTTCCTGAACCTTTCTCTTCCTTGAGTCTATGTAGCCATGACCAAAGTTATCAAGAATGGCTAAAAGAACTTGTTATTCTTTCTCTAAACTAGGCTCCCCCCTTTCTTGCCATTACCACTTTGAACCTTGCAGCATTAAAATTATTGTAGGATGGGCCGGGCATGGTGGCACACGCCTTTAATCCCAGCACTTGGGAGGCAGAGGCAGGCGGCTCTCTGTGAGTTCAAGGCCAGCCTAGTCTACATAGTGAGTTCCAGGACAGCTGGGGCTACAGAGAGACCCCGTATCTAATGAATAGCTGTTGAAATTCAAACCAGGCAGGAGTAAGAAAGAACTATCACACTGACTTCCCCACAGACTTCAGTACTAAGTGAACCATAGTTTCACACTGAAAGTAGTGATCAAAAATTCATCTTCTGGGGCTAGAGAGATGGCTCAGCAGTTAAGAACACTGACTGTTCTTGCAGAAGACCCGGGTTCGAATCCCAGCACCCATATGGCAGCTAACAACTGTTCTTAACTCCAGTTCCACGAGATCTGACAGTCTCTTGTCCTTCGTGGGTACTGCACAACATGGGGTGCACTTACCTACATACAGGCAATGCACACATACACATAAAATAAAAATAATAAAATATTTTTTTTAAAAATTCATCTTCCAAGCTGGTGTGGTGGCCCATACCTTTAATCTCAGCACTTGGGAGGCAGAGGCAGGTGGATTGCTCTGAGTTCCAGGCCAGCCTGGTGTACATAGTGAGTTCCAGGTCAGTTGGAGCTACAGGGAGACCCTGTCTCAAAATGGAGGAAAAAAAAAATTCTTCCAGGTGCTGGAGAGATGGTTCAGCAGTTAAGAATACTGACTGCTCTTGCAGGACCCAGGTTCTGTTCCCAGTACCCACATAGCTAGTAACTGTCCATAACTCCAGTTCCAGGAGATTCAACACCCTCTTCTGGCCTCCACAGGCATTGAATGCACAGGAGCACTTACATACACGCAGGCAAAACATTCATAAACTCTTTTAATCCCAGCACTCAGGAAGCAGAGGCAAGACTGCTCTATATAACAAGTTCCAGCCAGCTGTGGCTATAGGGAGAACTTGTCTCAAAAAGAACCTCCCCCAAACCCCCCACTTAGTTGAGGGGGGGATATGATAAAAATACAAAGAATCCACAAAAACCAAACCAAAACAAAAAAAACAACCAAAAAACCACCTTTCAGGACTCACCATCAGAGGCTGCACTACCTATGTGTTTGCTATACCCCATGGAAAGAACAAAGCCTTCTGCCTCATCTGCAGACCACAAAAGACTCTGGGGAAACATCTTCCCTCTGTGCTACTTACACATGCCATTTGGTGCAGGGAGAGGTACCCGGGGTCCTAAGATGCTTCCAGGCATTGGAGGCATACCAGGAGGAGCAGGGCCACTCCCAGTGGGGTGGATGTTGGCTGCCACAGTGGGAATCATACGGCCTGGCATGGGCTGCCCAGGCATCATGGAGCCTGGGCCTGGTATCTGACCTGTGGAGGGAGATTTAAATTACTGTTAAGTATAACAAGCAATGGGTTTTTTTTTTTAAAAAAAAGGGATCAACTCAGTGTCCACCATTACTACATACAGATGAACACCCACTTGACTTCAAACACCAATAGAACAATAATCTGTAGTTACATCTGCGATTGGCTTTAAAATTATTTTTCACATTTCCTTATTTTGTGTGTGTGTGTGTGTGTGTGCGTGTGTGTGTCTGTCTGTCTGTCTGGAACTTGCACGCGCAAGTGTACATATGCCAAGGCATGCATGTGGAGATCAGAGGACAACTTGAAGGTCAGTTGGGTATGTGGGCTTTCAGGACTGAACATAAGATCATTCAGTTTAGTGACAAGCTCCCTACCCGCTGAACCATCAAGAGCCCTAAGATCAGCTTTTTATTCATTTGTTTATTTTTACAGCTTGGGGCAAGTATGTTGAGTGACTTTTCTCAATTTTAGCAAAGGCAAGGAATTACAGGGCTGGGAATGTGGCCCATTTGGTTAGAGTGCTTGCATAGTAAGTTAAAGGTTGTCAGTTTAATCCTGAGCATCACATAAATAGGGTGTGGTGGTATATACCTGCAATCCCAACACTTGGAGAGTTGGAAGTGATTTTAAGGAAATCTTTGGCTACAAAGACTTTGAGGTAAGTCTGGGATACATGAGACCCTGTCCCCACCAAAAAACAAAAGAGCACACAACAAAAAGGAAGAAATTACAATGAAAGCATCCCCCCAAAAGAAAACATTCGTTTTGGTTAGTTTGAGTCAACAGTAAACTGTCACATCCTTTCAAGGACATACAATGCCAAACCATAGGTCACAGAGAATGGAGAGAACAATTTTAACAGGAATTGGTTCACAGGAAGTCACCACTAAAAAAAGATTCTAATTTCAATGCCAAAATATCATCCTTGCCTCCCTGGGGGTGGAGGGAATCTCTCCCTGGGTGCTGTACAGGGCTAGCCTCTGAGCCAAACCACCATCTTCAGGAGTTTATCTGTGATGGCTTTCAAAGATCCTCACAGGTGTCCCCTCATAGAGGAGGGGCAGGGATGCACATGGGATTCTCACTTTAATATCCAGTCACTCTGGCCAACCCAATGTATACAATTCTGCCCTAATGGTACATGGTCTCAGGAAAGGGCTAGAATATATAGGTTGGGGAAAACTAGGGGAAGACTAAGGGAATGGAGCTCCATCTATATGGCTATGGGGAAACCATCATCCATGCTGGGTGCAGACATTCCAGTGTAGCCTTTGTGGGGGAGCACCCAAACTTCTCGTATATGTTCTATAAGTAAGCCTAATAAAGTCATCTTGGTTTGTTGTTGGGACCTTGGGGGAGAAGGGAAGATGTTGTCTGCATTTCCTTCACCCAAAGAAAGGAATTTTATTGACACTAGGGAACCCAAGAAGTACTGGCCTGACAGAATCACAGGTAGCAGTAGGTTGGAGTGGGAGGAATGGGGCGAATGGAATGGTATAGACAACTTCATCTCTTCCCAGTGTTTTTACATTAATGACAGGAAACAGAACAAATAAAGTGTCTATTCATTCACTTGCATAATCAAATCTTCAAAACTGCCATCAAACTTTTGCTGGTAGCACTCTTGTGATGAAAGGGGAACCAAGTATTAGAGTAACAGAACCTAACTGATCAATGAGTTCCTGCAGCCTCCAGCTACCAACTTCAGCCTGGACAGAGCCTTAGAAAACAGACAGGAGTCTGTGAAACATGTCTTTACATGGAAGCTAGAGTCAATACTGGGCAAGGGAGAAACAAGCAAGAACCCTCCAGGTGCATGCTCATCTGAATAACATGATGTATGACTGTTCAAAATCACTTCACATGGGACAGAGTTTCACAGCCTGATTCTAAAGTATGGACTGCTAAAAGTCATGGGCTCAAATGGCATCCCAGTCAGTAGCCAACAGTTTCATCCTCAGTAAGAAAAATATAGAGAAGTAGCCTGCACAGTCCACAGTCCCTTCTACTTCATCCTCAGATATGTGTTCCTGGACAATGACAGTTTCCTGAGTATGCTGAGCAGCTATCCACTTTAACTGTGTGTAACTAGGGCAACTATACTATTGTTAGTTTTAAAACTGTGCTTTATATTTCACCAGTTCCTCCAACATGCTTGTGAGAGGCAGAGACAGTATTTTCATCTTATAGGGAGTAAAATAAAGCTCAGAAAAATCCAAAGATGACCCCATCCCAGGGTCTATGTAGCCCAGGCTAGTCTTGAACCTCCTGTCTGAGCCTCCCAAGTGCTAGGATTACAGGTATGTATGTGGTTCCAAAAATTTCATTTGGAACACAGCAGGGAAAATAATAAAATATAACCACATTTTCTAACTCGGAGTCCAATTTTCTTCCGACCATATTACGGCTTTCCTCAAATCACACAGTTCACATGAAAGGATTTAACACAGTGGCTAGCCTTTAAAAAAATAAAAATAAAGTGAGACCCTATTTTATACTCCACAATTTTTTTTTTTTGTCTTTTTTGAGACACAGTCTCCTTGCAGCCCCAGCTGTCCTGGAACTCACTATGTAGACCAGGCTGGCCTCAAACTCACAAAGATCCGCCTGCCTCTGCTTCCCACCTGCTGGGACTAAAGGCGTGTGTCACCACGCCTGGCCAACAAACAATTTTTAAAATAACAAATATATATGCTATTCCAAAAATCATGTTTTCTTCACTATATCACAGCTCTAAGATCACTATGTTTTCTTCAATAATGAAAAACCTTTTTTTTAGTACCTTATACAAATGAATGGCAAATCTGAAATCAGGTTCCAATATTCAAAATAGTATATACAAGACTGGAGAGATGGCATGGTGACTAAAAAGATGTACTGCTCTTGCAGAGAACCCAAGCTGAGCCACGTCAGGTGGCTTATAATTCCTTGCAACCCAGCTCCATGGGGATCTGACACCTCTGGCCTCCATGGGTAACTGCACTGACATGCACATACACCCCCCAATACACATTATTTAAAAATAAAAATCTTTTAAAATCATATACAAATATTTCAAAACTGGGAAACTTAAAAAAAAAATCTTCAGCCAGGTGTGGTGGCACACACCTTTAATCCCAGCACTTGGGAGGGAGAGGCAGGAGGATCTCTGTTGAGTTCAAGGCCAGCCTGGTCTACATAGTGAGTTCCAGGACAGCTGGGGCTACAGGGAGACCCTGTCTCAAAAAGACAAAAAACAAAACAAAACAAAAAAACTTCAAGTATTTTGGTATTTTGGTTGCTGTTCAATCTGCATTAGTTGGATGGCAGCCCAAACACATAAATATCCCAATAGCTCTACATTCCCAGTCCAAATTTATTTTTTTAAATTTCATTCATCATTTTTATTTTATGTGTATGCATGTACTGCCTGCATGTAGGTTAAGTGCACCCGTGTCGTGCAGTGCCTGTGGAAGACAGAAGAGGCTGCTGGATCCCCTGGAACTGGAGTTATGGGCAGCTGTTAGCTGCCATGTGGGTGCTTGGAATCGAACCCAGGTCTTCCACAAGAACAGTCAGTGTTCTTAACCACTGAGCCATCTCTCCAGCCCCCCCACCCCGTCCAAATTTCTATGGTTTTATTTTAATTAAAAACATTTATTTATGCTGGGCATGGTGGCACACACCTTTAATCCTGGCACTTGGAAGGCAGAGGCAGGTGGATCTCTATGAATTCAGGGCCAGCCTGGTCTACATAGCAAGTTTTGGAAGCTGGGGCTACAGGAAGAACCTGTTTTAAAAAAAGTATATATGTTATATGCTTGAGTGTTTTGCATGCATGCATGTAATGTAAGTGCACCCACGCATGCCCATGTAGACCAGAGAAGGCTTTAGGTTCCCTGGAGTTAAGGATATTTGTTAGCTCCTATGTGGATGATGGGAACTTAACTCTTAACTGCTGAGCCATCTTTCCAACTCCAAATTTCTATTGTTTTAAGTCATCAAGTATGTGATAAATTTATTATGACTGCTCCAGGAATCTATGTGCAAAACATCTACTATGCTCTAGACACTTTTTTAAGAGTTTTTTAAGCCGGGCGTGGTGGCGCACGCCTTTAATTCCAGCACTCGGGAGGCAGAGGCAGGTGAATCTCTCTGAGTTCAAGGCCACCCTGGTCTACATAGTGAGTTCCAGGACACCTGGGGCTAGAGAGACCCTGTCTCAAAAAGATCAAAAAGTTTTTTAAGCATTGATTTATTTGATCCCAATAAGGCTGTTTTCCCCACTTGGGAAAGGGAAAGACATGAAGACCAAGTAAATCACTGAACATTGTAAAGCACAGAAATGGGTAAGCACAGATCTGATGTACTTGGCTCCAGACATGGTGCTTCTAACCACAGTGCACCTACAAAGGTCTAAGCTCCTTTTCAACAGGTACCCTAAGACACAGTAATGTAACCCACTCCAACCTCAACTGATGGATCAGTGATGTCATACTGAGCTCTTCAAAGCAACAGTGACTAATTGTGTATTCTATCAGAGAAAAAGCTATTCAAGAAACAATCTGGCAGAATGACACAGACTTGACAAATTGATGTCTATCTATCACACACTAGAATGAGCCCAGGGGTTCTACTCTTATGCCAAACATTACTATTTCCAAATTCAGGATCAGTGGCCCATTTACTTGTATCCCTGTATCTCTGTGGAAATAACCTATGATAACAAACTTTTGGAGTTTCTCAAATTTCTAAGATGAATAACACAAACACAAATTTGAAGGCATGTCTCCTTGGAATGGATGATAACATAAAGAAAGGGCTAGAGGTAAAAAGAATTATTTCTGTTTCTGAAATTCAACTAGGCTGGCAGGACAGCAAGCCCCAGGAATCCTGTTTCCACCTTTCCAGCCCTGGGATTATAGTGTGCACTGCCACACTTGTCTTGTAGGGAGTGTCAGACTTAATGCAAACCCTTTCAATGACTGGGTCACCTCCCCAATTCCAGGAAAGGTGATTTT